TTTCAACAGGATGTCATACTCCAAGGTCAAAAGGTCATAAAAATAATAGTACCCTGCGGAAGGTCTTGTCACAAGGAATGCACATGTGAAATATAAAGCCTTAGCTCCAACCAATCAAAAGTTATGGGCAAGGTTAAAGTTTTTTAAATTTTCAAAAGTGGGTCAAACTCCAAGGTCAAGGTCAAAATTTTGGTACTAATGAAAGGTATTATCAAATATGAAAGCCCTAGCACCAACTACTCTAAAGTTATTGCCATTGTTATTAAAAGTTTTTCAAAAGTAAGTCATACTCCAAGGTCAAGGTCAAAACTTCATTAATGATGGCACCCAACAGAAGGTTTTGTCAGAAGGAATATACAAGTGAAATATGAAAGCCCTAGCTCAGACCATTCAAAAATTATGGGCAAGGTAAAAGTTTAATAAAATTTTGCAAAAGTGGGTCAAACTCCAAGGTTAAGGTCAAATATGTTGGTACTCCATGAAAGTTCTTGTCACAAGAAATACAAATGTGAAATATGAAAGCCCTAGCTTCAACTAACCAAAAGTTATGGGCAAGGTTAAACTCTTTGCAGACGAACAGGCAGACAGACAGATCAAACACTATATGCTCCCAAATCATTGAATACAGAGGCATACAAAAAATGACAAACACAATATATTTCACTTTTCCATGATTGAGAGACATAATTCTTTGAAGAGTTACTAAAATGTCCAATTCATGAAGGTCAACAGTTAAAAAAAAAACAGATTAACATAAATGTAATACTTTAATACATATTTTTGTCATTGTTATATCTCAGTCAATTTACCATCCCAAAAAATCATTCATAAGGTCATCTATTTCATTTCTCCATATTTTAGTGTACTTTATACCATGACCTTGCAATTTTCTAAATGACTTCACATATCTATATATTTAAATTTTCATAATTAAGTCAACTGTACATCCAACAAGAATTGTATAACATGGTGTTGATATCCCATCTCTCTGCAGTTGACATTATGGACACAATGATCCATAAAATGGATCTTAACTTGAAAAATTTAGTTTAATGTCCTCCTTCGTTAAAATGGCCTTCATCAACTTTTTCCAGCCATTGTCTTGTATGGTGAGTCATCTGTGTACTGTAAGTGGTGTTCCTGAAATCGAGTAGATATTCTTTGTGTGGACTTCAGATATTTCTCTAAGCAATTTAAGGAACAGCTATTCTGAAATCAGAAATGAACTTTGATAAATGGTGAATGGATCAAAATTTAGTTTTCAAATATTTCATCAAATAATGGCAACAATAATTGAAATTGAAATAATCTTGACACCTTATGCAAAACAGTGTGTCTAAAGTTATGATGATCTTTCGAGAATATTATTTTTTTTTCTTTATGCTTGTATATATGATTTCAAAAGACCCTATTACTTCTGCTAAAAGTATAGAATTCAAATAGTTCTAGGTGTACTACACACTATACACTACCCTACACAATATAATTAGCATACTTCTCATGAGTATATCTAATACGTTGGGGAAATAAGATGACTATTCTACATGTACGTCAAAAATTGTTCCATCAGTTGGCCCATATTTAATGAATTTATAGATCTTTTATAATCCAAAGAAATTTTTACTTTTATTATCTTCCATTGTATGAGAACATGGCCCTTCATTTAAAGAGATACTGTAAACCAACTATTAGTCACATCTCTTTTATTTGTGATTTGTCAGTTGTAAATCAATCCGCGACGATAACTTTCGTGACTAAGGAAACATTCTGTACAAATAGCGCAAAATAAATGGTTCGCAATGATAAATATGTGTGAGTTAGAGTAGGTTGCAAAACTCACAGATATTTCTCACACGCGAATAAAAGTTGGTTTGCAGTAACCTACAAATGCTTTCTTTTAATTTGGCTTAAAATATGTGTTGAAGAGGAAATGTATACCACTTTGGAAGATTATTATAAAAGAAAAAAAATGTACACCAGCAACAAACTTGAGTTTTAGACAATCTGATTAAAATCAGATCATTTGATTCGCTCACACAGATCACTACACAAGGTGTGTAGCTACATGTTATGCTCATACATCTTATTTCAATGTCATGAAAATTACATACCTCAGCATTTGAAATTTTTCTTGTTGTAAAATCATGAATACAGTCTTTAAAACACATCTGTGTTATTTTATTATATGCTCCAATAAACTCTTTAAACTGAAAATCAAAATATCTACATATTAGTCCAGCTGGGAGTGAAACAAATAATACATACTGTATTCTACTTGAACACAAAGGGCACAATTACTTTAGAAATAACAAAAATATTCTGTAGTTAGATACACTATGTAGTTAGATACACTATATAAATAGTGCACGTTTTTGAGGGTAACAGTTGAAATTGACACCCCAAGGAAAACCATTGTCAACCGACGCGTCAGCGGAGGTTGACAATGGTTTTCCGAGGGGTGTCAATTTCAACTGTTACCCTCAAAAACGTGTACTATTTATTTTATTATACTGAATGTCTTATTGATTTCGGATGTCATAAAAAAAATTCGGAGATCGTCGTTAAGTTCACGCTTAGAAAGCTTTCAAACTCCCCGCTTCTATTTTTCTCAATAAGAAAGCTTCGGAAAAGATTTACCAACCTCTTTATTGTTTGTTTGCTACTCAAAAAGTCCTTTATCATCTAAAGTTTGCACTCGCAAGGATGTTTCGTCTGTCGTTTGTTGTTTTCAAGTAAGCTACATCGGACGCAAGCTTTTATTGACGTCGTTTATTCGGCTTCTTTCAAACGCACAACCGACGTTTTGAGAATTCTACGGTGAACCGTACGCGCATGATTTGAACGCATGTGATATTTTCGTAATGTTACCCGTTGTCAAGTCTGTTGCTAACGCTGAGGGTAACATTACGGATTGTTAAATGCGTCTAAACCAATCAGATTTTAGTATTTAACATGAAAGTATAATAAAGTATAATATTGCCTGCCTCTGCTCAAAAACATGGAAAAATCAAGAGATATTTCATACATAATTGGTTTACTTATTATTTGCATACACAAACTTGCTATTCAATATTATGCTAATTATAAGTCATAATAATGTAAAATTCTTCAATCATAATGTACTAGCTAGTAGCTAACCTGCTTAACTGCAGCCTCAGGATCTATTTCTTGTGTTTCTTGTGTTGCCATGCTCTATATGTTTATCTGAAAAATAAAAAAAAATAAAATAACTATTAACAGTCACCATTTGAACCTTTTTTTTTTGGGGGGGGGGGGGGGGGGGGGGCTTTTGTCAATGCTTAATACATCTGCACAGCAAGATTCAGTCATATTTATTAGATGAAAAATACTTAACCAATAGACCCAGTGATTTTTAATTTTCTTTTAAATCATCACTAAAGCAGAGTTCTCTCCCTTGTTACCCTCATACTGTGATACATTCTCTTTAAATGAATGTCCATGACTTTTAATATACACAATGCAAAAGATAGAGATCTGCCCTTAGATTATTTAGATGAGAAACCAAAGTCTAATGATGTTAAAGCTGCTGTTGATGTATCAATTAAACAAAAGCCCTCTCTCACCTAAATATGACTAATTGTGACCCTGCTGTTCTTGAGATTTTTTTAAAGATTCGTCCAATATACACTATGTTACTTTATAAATATATTATCCTCCCAATACTATGGTTCAAATAATCTCCAATCTACACTGTATAATTTCACATTAAGTTTTAATTTCTTCTGGCTCAATGGGTCACCATCTTGAGAAAAAAGAACTTCAAATGACATTATCAGTATATGCCCTGATTATCTCCCCTTGAGAGAGAGCATGGCTCTTAATTAAAGATTCTTGAATCCCCTATATAGTTAGTTTGCCTTCACTATGTTCACTCATTTTGTGGCGAGTTTGGTTGAAATTTGCCGAGAGGTTCCGGAAAAGGTTAAAAGTGTGAAAAGTTTACCAATGACACTAAAGGGGTGAGAGACAGTCTTAGACTCAGAAGGATGCCAAACATTCTTTGATCAGAAAAAAAACTAGCTTGTGTCTGGCTCTGCATCTTCGCTAGCCAAGGGTTTCCGATCCGAAATCAGTAGATTTCGGATCGGAAACCCTTGGCTAGCGAAGATGCTGGCTCTGGTGAGCTAAAACCCTTTAAAATCAAGAGCTAAAACCCTTTAAAATCAAGAATTAAATTGGTAATGTATTTTAAGGTAGGCCTAATACTTTTACAACCAGGATATTGGTTTTCCCCCGAGTTCAAAAGTATAACCTAAAATGCACTCTCAATTTCTTGCCGTATCGAAACCTTAACAAAGCTTTAAGTATACAATTAAATGCAACCTTGAAATTCGAGGAACAAATTCGAAATGACATGATTTGGACATTTTTCCTGACCTGATTATAAAATAATGCGATCTATACAAAATAGTTTCTAAATATTGCCAAAAAATGATGAACACCATTGGTGAAGTCATTGTAAGTACATCCAAATGTACGGCATGGGTTTGTTTACCTTCCCACGTGGGTCCCTTTTGACAAGTTTCAACATATACTAATTCTATCGTAAGTGAAACAGAGAAAACCGAATTTCAATTACATGAATTTTGATTGGATAATTTATATTGACATTTTATGAAACTAGAAAAATATTGAAAATTACAATATCTGTATATATTGAATAAAAATATAACATGTGCTTTATATAGATACGTAATTTTAAATATAATAAACTATTAATTTTGCTGTAAAATTGTTGATCAATATTTTACGACAAACATAAACTGGAAAATGCACCAATGAAAATCCACGTTTCATTCGAAACTCATAGAAATATTTTTGTTGACAATATGAATGTAGCGGGTGTTTGAATATAATTTTGTTAAAATTTAGCAAGGGAACTTTGCGTATCATGTGTGATAATTATGATGATGTAACAGATAAGTTTTTATGAACATGTAAATTCATTACAAAAAATCAAGCAAGATAGTGCATTTGCACTGTAGCAATATGCGTTCGAATTTCCTCAGTTCTGAAGTGCACTGTGAATAGAATATCTGTGATGGAGGGTATGCTTGAGTTGCTGTCAACGACAGACGCAGCTGTTAAGGCCTTAGACAGAACAAGCAGGTAAGTGCTTCGTGTGGAAATAGCAAGGAGAATTAACTCAAATTTAATGTCCATGTAGATTCTTACGTTTTTTTCCATTTTTTTTTTTTATTTTGAACTAGCACTGAAGATTCATTGTACTAATATGTCCAATAGACTGTTTCACGATAACTGCGGTACTACTCTTTTGCAGGGCAAATGTTATAGTTTGTTGAAAAATGATGTAAAAGCAATTGTTTAATATACATCATTTTAGTATCTGTTAACAAAAAATTTGCCAAGCCTTATTAATTTGCCCTACAGAAGAATAGTGCTGCGGTCATCATGAAATGGTTAATTGTGAAACTGTGTTAGGATGAGTGCAGTTTTCTTTGTGTAAACCTCTCAAATGATGTATTCACTATTTCCTCTTTAATACATTCATCTACGTAATGACCTCACAATTTTTAGTAAACTTCTTTGGCCTGCTGCATATTGTAATGTCATTTTTCCACATGGATTTATGACTAATAAAAATTTAAAGTTAAATTTTTTTCAATTTCAGTGTATAATAGGACCCTCAGAATCAAGATTTCTAATTCTTGAATAATTCTGACAAAATCAGAATAACCCGAGATGTTTTTAACCATGAAAAAAAGATTTCACATGCAGGCTTGTTTATGAAGGATGAATGTATTAGTATTGTGGCAGAGAGATTCCACAGATTTTTTTTTAGCTCACCTGAGCCGAAGGCTCAAGTGAGCTTTTCTGATCACATTTTGTCTGTAGTCCGTCTGTCCGTCCGTCTGTCCGTCTGTAAACTTTTCACATTTTCGACTTCTTCTCAAGAACCACTGGGCCAATTTCAACCAAACTTGCCACAAAGTATCCTTGGGTAAAGGGGATTCAAGTTTGTTCAAATGAAGGGCCACGCCTTCTTCCAAGGGGAGATAATTAAGAATTCGTGAAAAATTAATGGCATCATTAAAAAATCTTCTTCTCAAGAACCACTGTGCTTGAAAACATGAAACTTATGTGGAAGCATCCTCAGGTAGTGTAGATTCAAGTTTGTTCAAATCATGACCCCCGGGGGTCGGGTGGGGCCGCAATGGGCGATCAAAGTTTTACATAGGAATATATAGGAAAAATCTTTAAAAATCTTCTTTTCAAGAACAGCTAAACCATGATTGGTCATATTTATATGGTAGCATCCTCAGATAGTGTAGATTCAATTTTGTTCAAATCATGACCCCCGGGGGTCGGGTGGGGCCACAATGGGCGATCAAAGTTTTATATAGGAATATATAGGAAAAATCTTCAAAAATCTTCTTCTCAAGAACAGCAAAGCCATGATTGGTCATATTTACTTGGAAGCATCCTCAGGTAGTGTAGATTCAAGTTTGTTCAAATCAAGACCCCCGGGGGTAGGGTGGGGCCACAATGGGCGATCAAAGTTTTACATAGGAATATATAGGAAAAATCTTTAAAAATCTTCTTCTCAAGAACAGCAAAGCCATAATTGGTCATATTTACTTGGAAGCATCCTCAGGTAGTGTAGATTCAAGTTTGTTCAAATCATGAGCCCCGGGGGTCGGGTGGGGCCACAATGGGCGATCAAAGTTTTGCATAGGAATATATAGGAAAAATCTTTAAAAATCTTCTTCTCAAGAACAACAAAGCCATCATTGGTCATATTTATATGGTAGCATCCTCAGGTAGTGTAGATTCAAGTTTCTTCAACTCATGACCCCCGGGGGTCGGGTGGGGCCACAATGGGCGATCAAAGTTTTACATAGGAACACATAGTAAAAATCTTCTTCTCAAGAACAGCAAAGCCATGATTGGTCATATTTATATGGTAGCATCCTCAGGTAGTGTAGATTCAAGTTTGTTCAACTCATGACCCCCGGGGGTCGGGTGGGACCACAATGGGCGATCAAAGTTTTACATAGGAATATATAGGAAAAATCTTCAAAAATCTTCTTCTCAAGAACAGCAAAGCCATGATTGGTCATATTTACTTGGAAGCATCCTCAGGTAGTGTAGATTCAAGTTTGTTCAAATCAAGACCCCCGGGGGGGTAGGGTGGGGCCACAATGGGCGATCAAAGTTTTACATAGGAATATATAGGAAAAATCTTTAAAAATCTTCTTCTCAAGAACAGCAAAGCCATAATTGGTCATATTTACTTGGAAGCATCCTCAGGTAGTGTAGATTCAAGTTTGTTCAAATCATGACCCCCGGGGGTCGGGTGGGGCCACAATGGGCGATCAAAGTTTTGCATAGGAATATATAGGAAAAATCTTTAAAAATCTTCTTCTCAAGAACAACAAAGCCATCATTGGTCATATTTTTATGGTAGCATCCTCAGGTAGTGTAGATTCAAGTTTCTTCAACTCATGACCCCCGGGGGTCGGGTGGGGCCACAATGGGCGATCAAAGTTTTACATAGGAACACATAGTAAAAATCTTCTTCTCAAGAACAGCAAAGCCATGATTGGTCATATTTATATGGTAGCATCCTCAGGTAGTGTAGATTCAAGTTTGTTCAACTCATGACCCCCGGGGGTCGGGTGGGACCACAATGGGCGATCAAAGTTTTACATAGGAATATATAGGAAAAATCTTTAAAAATCTTCTTCTCAAGAACAGCAAAGCCATGATTGGTCATATTTACATGGAAGTATCCTCAGATAGTCTACATTCAAATTTATTTAACTCATGACCCCCGGGGGTCGGGTGGGGCCACAATGGGCGATCAAAGTTTTACATAGGAACACATAGTAAAAATCTTCTTCTCAAGAACAGCAAAGCCATGATTGGTCATATTTATATGGTAGCATCCTCAGATAGTGTACATTCAAATTTGTTCAAATCATGACCTGCGAGGGGTCGGGTGGGGCCACAATGGGCGATCAAAGTTTTATATAGGAACACATAGTAAAAATTCTAAAAAAAAAAAAACAATTTGTTAAGAATAGCAAAGCCATGTTTGGTCATATTTATATGGTAGCATCCTCAGATAGTGTACATACAAATTTGTTCGAATCATGACCCCCGGGGGTCGGGTGGGGCCACAATGGGTGATCAAAGTTTTACATAGGAATACATAGGTTAAATCTTTAAAAATCTTCTACTCAAGAACAGTAAAGCCATGTTTGGTCATATTTAAATGGAAGCATCCTCAGATAATGTAGATTCAAATTTGTTCCATTTATGACACCCCCCCCCCCCCCCAACCACTTTTATATTTAAACTTTTCAACCTTTCAAGATTGAAGTGATTTCTGCTTTTTCCTAGTCATAGTGCTCAGGTGAGCGATGTGGCCCCTGGGCCTCTTGTTTTGTTAAGTTGTTGCCATGCTCCAGCCATCATGTTGTTATACACCTAAAGAGGATTGGGAGTTGTAGAACTTTTTCATGTGGGTCCATCAAAATTTCTTTGCTCTTATGTGTCTATAGAGCTCATGGTACCAGCTAATATGTTTTTATGGTGCAAGCAAAGTTTTATATTTTTCACTGTATATACCAACAAAACCCTTTATATACACTTTTATAAGTGCACAATACATTTGGAAGGTTTGACTTCAGAGGTTATGTATAGTATGTAGTTTGGACTACATACATGTATGTAATTTATGGGGATTGTGGGTACTGAGTTAAGTGCCGCTTGTTGAGCTTGTTATAAGCCCATAAATGTAGTTTATAATGTATCATTATATCATAATACATCGTAGATTCATATTTCTTCTTATATAACAGGGGTAGAAACTCCCTAAAATTACAACTCGCAAATAATTGCGAGTACCAAAAAAATGAACTCGCAATTTCAAAAGACAACTCTCAATCTTAAAATGAAAGCTTTTTTTGAAAAATGCCAATGCGGCCATCTATCCATCTTCTAAAAAATTTTCGACATGATCATCGGACATGGCACATGGTCGTTCATTTAAAAATGACGGATATAAACAGTAACTAAAGAGAGAAAGATTAAAACTGGATTGAAACGGATATTTTTTCACGGTTGAAATTTACATTGAAAAAATATCAACTCGAATTATTTTGCGAGTAACAAAATTTTTAACTCACAATTTGGATATTCTAACTCGCATTTTGCGAGATGTATATAGTGAATTTCGAACCCTGTATAAGTATGTAAGCACCATTGATATACCTTATAATTGTGTACACAACTACACATAAGAGTTGTTTATGTATCGGTTATGAGTTGTAATTTCCAATCTTCTCATTGATAAAATTTAGTGTTGATGCACAATTGAAAACAAGGTAAAAAGAAGGGGTAATGAGTTGTTAATCATAGATTTGGAGATTAATTTTGTCTATCAGAATATATTTTTTTCATTTAAATAACATTGATTCTCATAAAAAGATAGGATAAAAATCATGAAAATATTTTAATATTAGTATGTTAGTTATGAGCCCCCTCTTTCAAATTAAGCAGAAAAAGATGGAATGTATTTTTATATGCCCATTTTTGACATGATATATTGTCAAGATGTGCTGCACCACTCTTTTTTACCCCCCCCCCCCCCCAAAAAAAAATGTGCAAATAGCAGTGGAATTGTTAAAAGTCAATTTTTTCCCACTTGAATATCTTCAGTATGCAGGAATCTGATAATCAGAAATGGAACATATTTAAAATTTAGAATTTATCTCCCACCAGAAAAATGAAATGTTTAACTACATTTTTATTTATAAATGATTTCCCCTAAGACTAAAATCTGCTTGCATAATATTATATTCCAGATCTCAGTCATCAATAAGCAGCAGGTCATCCTCAGGATCAAAGAAGAAAAGTACATCAGAAGTACCGGACAGTGGAATCGGTCAAACTGAAGACAGATCTCAGAAAACTAAGGCATCTCACAGTAGAGAGACTGATGAGCTTGATGTATCCCAGCACAGCTCTGATGTTAGTACAACAGCTAGTGATGTATTGATCAGGTCCACTACAGCAGCACCGGGAGAGAAAAGTATTTTAGATGATGTAACTTTTCAGAGTGTTGATAATACAAGTAACATCTCAAAGTGTTCAAAATATTCTTTTGGAAAAGAAAATTTTAACAGTTCTGGTCCTGTTAAAGTGAAGGTGTCTTCTAAACTGCTGAGAGAAATTAAGTCTCCATATGAAAGCCCAAGGGAGGAAGCGAACACAGGAGAGGAATCTCCTAAGGTTCAGAATGTACAACCAGAGATTAATCCAAGTAAATCAAGGGAACAGAGTACAAGTATAGGAATGCGTAAAATCTCAACAGAATCTAAGGCAAGTTCTAGAGGAGTAGATACCTCTAGAACACACAGTCAAGCCTCAGATGTTCTAAAACCATCTAGTCGACCAAACTCTGCAACTTCAAAGTCCTCTACTGTTAGCCAGCCTGGATCTATAGTTAGAGGGCCTACTTCAAAGTCACTTAAAGATTCAAAGACAGTTAGTCAGACTTCTGTACCAAAACCTGTAAGTAACAACCCCAAGGATATCATAACTCTACAATGTACGCCACAGAGAAAACAGACCAGTCAACCAAAGAAAGCAAATACACCAGAAAAACAAAGGAAAACCGAAGGATTCCCTCAACCTGTTTTTGTAGAGCGGCATACACCTGAAAAAGTGTACAGAGACAAGAAAATTCTACGTAATGATGATGATGATAAAGGCAGCTATATTGAAGAGTTCTGTAAAGAACAAATAGAAAGACAAGATTTGGTGCCAGAAAAATTAGGTATCACTCTGAGAAAAGAGAACCAAATTAAACTTGTGTATCAGATCATGAAAATATTAAAACAAATAGTTTTTTTCATCTTTAAAAAATAAAACTATAACTAAAGTTACTTGCCCTTGTTTCAATTTCTTCTTTTTCTATCTCTCATCATTGTTTATTCTGAGGTAAAAACAATTTTTTTTTTTCATATTATGTTCCCTAATAGTAACTGAGTCAGTAGAAACCAGCATTAACAGTGCTACGAGTAGTCAACCAGAGATTGTCACTGTACCGGAGAGGATAGTCACCATATCAACCAGGAGCTCCGTCTCCTCAGACCACTCACTCAGTGACTCGGGTCAAATACTCACTGTCCAGGAGAGACTGGTCACAATCTCGACAGCTCAGCCAATGGAGGATGAGGATTCTACTGTCAGTCACACTAAAGAAGAGGAGGAGGAGGAAAAAATCCCTCCAAGGCTGCCAGATAAATTCCATCAATATACCAAGGTAAGTCCTTGGGGAGGGGAATGCCTCATTTATCTACTGCATCAGCTAATGAAATTGTTTTTTTTTATCCTGTGGGTTTTTTGATCAGTTTAGTAGCTTTTTTATCATTTATTATCTTAAACCAATCTTTCACCCAAAATAATTTATCAATAAGATTATCCATAGTTTTGGTAATTCCTCAATAAGTTATGCAATCACAGCACATTTGTAAAACTATACATAATTAAAATCAGGAGTTTTAACAACAGAAATGGAGGTGTATGTGTACATACAAAATAATCTTACCTTCATTGAAATATATCTTACAGCACCAGAGTGGTGGGTTGAAGCAGGGATCAGAAAGTAGTGGTGTATCTGTTATGGATCATCCGTCCGATTCAGATGACATCCATGTTGAAAAGTTCCGCTTGTCAGAGAAGCAACTATTGATGAAAGAGAATTTTACTAAGAGGTAACATCTCCAAAAGATAATGAAAGAAAAACTTAAAATAAACTACATACATTACGTAGTACTGTGTAAGTTAAAAAATATCAAGGACTCAAAAGAGCAAGAAGAAAAATGCAGCATACAAATTCCTGTCTATGTGAATTTTAATTGTTGATCAACTGTTTGATTTTAAGATTGCAAGGGGGTCCTAAAAAGAGGGTTGTTCAGCCTAGACTAATTGGTCCAGCTGCCAAGTCATCAAAGAAGGAAACCAAGGAGCCGAGTATCCAGAACACAGAGGCCATTACTGCAGCAGTGGCTGCTAGTGCCGCAATAGCTGCCACACAACCATTTCTTAAGGTATATTATAGGACTTTGGATAATTTCAACTGATAAAATAAAATTGACAAAATTTATTTTGTGTTTAATTCAGAATTATAGGTTATTGACTTAATATTGGGAAATATGCCCACCTGAGATCTTTGCATGGTAAAGGGAACCAAGCTTTCGAGGTCGCCACCGCACAAAGACCAAGGGTGGATATATTTCCTGATATTAATCCACTACAAAAAATGTACATGGATGTGATGTTTGTCTCTAAAGGAATTACGATTATTAGCACTTCATGTACAATTTTATGATCAATGATGAATTCAGTTATACATTTTCTTTGCTGTCAGAAGTTTTGCAAAAGAACCATGTTTCATACTAGGCACAACAAGAACTAGAGAACAAGATGACCAACATTTTGAACCAGATTGGCAGTCTCCAGTCTGATGTGGCCCCTCCCTTGAAGGGGGAGTCAGAGTCTGAAAGGGTGGCCCAGTTAGAGAAACAACTGGCCACAGTTACAGAGCAGAGAATACAACACCTAGAAAAGTTACAAGAACAACAGGTTGCCATGCAGGTATTGTTTGTTCAAGTCTACAAGTTTACATGACTCCTATGTCAGTAGTTAGTATTGTAAGTAGAACCTGTTTAGTAATATATTGATATCTATGTGGACAGAACTAACTTTTACTTCCAACTGTTAAGGCATACAGGCATCCTTATTTGAACTACTGAGTAGAGATGTATGCTTTGATGTAAACTCAGTAATAACAGATTCACCACATAATTAATTGATACAAGATCCCTTATAAATCTGTTTTATGTTAAATATTTATGCTGGGAATGTTTGGTTATTTTATTTTCACTCATTTAGTTTATACTTATTTGGTAAATTCAAAGAAAAAAGAGCTTTCGTCAAAGCTTTGGATAAGTAAAATTATTCTGTAAATTTTCCATAACAAATGCAACAATTAAGGGATGAATATTCCTCAGCTAACAGTAATTTTAAGATACTTAGAAATTAGCCTCTGTATAATAAAAAGGAGTCACAGTCCTTTTGTTTAATCTGAGTAATACATACCTGTGATAAATTCATCAAAGACTCTAACAAATGGAACAAAATTTGGGGCATATTAACTCCATAACATGTTTGTTTAGAAATATTTTGTGACTGCAAGATTCAGATTTATAACATCCAGAAATGCTCAAAAACAAGTTTACTCTAACATGTTTAAAAATTATACATGGTAATAATACATTTACAGTATTCAGAAGATTGGTTAACAAACTGCATATATACTTTTATCAATTTTCATCAGTTAATGTACATGTATATTAAAAGCTTCGATTCATAATACAGCTTTTATATTCAGTTATTCCTAACTTCTACTGTTACAGGCAAAATTGTTATCCCTATCAAGAACACCACAAAATCGAACCGAAGTCACCAGATCCAAATCACCAACCATAAGATCTCCTTCATGGAGTCCACCTGTACAGAGGAAGAAAGAATTCCCACCAAAACCAATCATAAAGACAACAGTCCCAAAACTGGGTCATGGGGATTATAATCAGGAGCAGTTCCAGGATCACAGGTCACCAGAAACCCCCAAACCCAGGACCAATCCTCCCAAACCACTGTCTTTTGAATTTCGAAACAAGAAACAACCATCAAGTAAAGTATTTCTATCTATGATGGTAATATATGTACGTGTACTAAAATTACACTTGAGATGTTCAACATTTTTTAATTAAGATTAGGCAAAGTGTATTTAACCCCGGACTATGTTTAGATACTTGACAGTCTGTAAACAGCTTAAGTGCCATCCCTTTGATCTGGATTGAAATAAATGGTTATATTTTTTCTGTTTCGATTTATTACCATGTATACTCACTTATACATGACCATCAGATTTTTGGGAATATGACTTCTGCCAAAATTCTATGTCTGACTTATAGGCAAGTCCTAGAAATATTGGTATTTTTTAAGACGGTGAAATGTAGGGTCAAAGGATATAATTCTCAACATCTTTGGAAATGTGTTTAATTGTGAGTGCAATCTGTATCAAGGATCAATTAGGAGTCAAATTCTGAATTAAAGTATATATTTGTATTTGATATTATGCTTAAGTACTTCATTACAAAGTATGCAAACAATCTGGTTGTTCATTTCTGAAGGAACATCAATTTCGAGCAAAGCTTTATAAACAATAAGTTGCTGAAAATTACCGTCTATGCTGCATGTTTGCAAGGGATTCCAAAGAACAAAAACATACTAATTATAAGTGTTTTTCTGTTTTTCATAACCTTGATTTTGTATATTAGTCAACAGATTTGCAGCTTATGCTGTGTGTGCAAGCTAATCAAGTTAAATGTTTGTTTAGCACTTAAATGTCAAATGACATTTTTTTTCAAAACAGAGTAACAATTACAGAAATTGTAATTTGTTAATTGTGCATATTTAATATATTTTTCTGTTGATATGAAATAAAAGAGGGTCAAACAAATATTGATCTGATTTTACAGACAAAATGGTTGGCAGTTTACTTGTGGAGTTATGAATATTTCAATTTGGAAAATGTTTATGCAATTAAACTCAGAATTTCAATATCTGAAATAGGATATTTTGAAGATGTAAACATGTTTACTGATAAAATGAAGACCTTCTATTTATTCAGTGATAATTGGGGCCAATAATTGTCAATATTTTGAATTGAATCATTCTGTATTTAGTTGTATTGCTATTTTGATTATCTATCCATGTAATTATGGATATGCATAGATAGTTCGTATTTCAATTATTTTTTTTTAAATGATCTGCATGTAGAGTTTTACCATTTCAATCTAGGCTTCGTTATTTTCAAATAATTTGGTCTAGTCAGTTATTGTCTATGACACAGGGGTCCAGATTAGCAAGAATTCACCGTTTCCATCGATTGAATGCCACACACCAAACATTGGGATTTATTGTAGTATTTTTAACTGTAGTACATCTAGTGAAATTTAATGTATTATAAAAATCAAATCTCATGTTTCATCAGTATTAATGCTAGACAGACTTGTTTACAAAACTCATTATTATGTTGAAATGAAAAAGATGAAAGTTCAATGTCCTTTTTTGTAGCTCGAGGGATCCTAGAGGAAATACTGGCATCTGATGCATCCCCCCGCCGTGACGTCCCCGAGCCCACCAAGTACGAAGACAAAGACAAGTAAGTAGTGAAGTTCAAAATGAAAGATGTCAAAATAAATATGGAGAAAGCCTGAATGGAGTAGAAAAACAATAAAATTTAAGAGAAAAAAAGCTTAAGTTAAGGAGAGATAGGAGTTTTCAGGATATGAAAGCATGTAGAATGCACAACTCAAGTAAAAATGCAAGCCACAGGTGTCAATCACACACTCCAACAAAACCAATGACAATCTGTGGATTGCAAGGATTAGAGAACAAATATTTCTCCTGATTTCTACATGCCCTGAAATTATATTTTAAAATTTTGTTTGAAATTTTTGATCTCTGAATTTGTGAAAAACACTCTGTAATATTACTTTGTCCCAGTCATAATGTGGTTAGGACGTAACGTTACAACATCATCTTTTTTAACCTGGTTTTCCTTAGGAAAAATCTTGTTATTGAAATAGTGAAAATGGTGGGCAGGCGGCTGCCAAAAGGGTACATCATTTGTCCCGATTTTTCCCTGTGATGCACTTTTATGAAATTACTGCCCTTGAATTTTAAAAAAGAATAAAAGACATAAGAAAAAGAAAAGACCCAAAAAGGTTTTCAGTCTTATATGGTGTAAGTATCAGTTAAAAACCTGTCATGATTAAAGTTTTAGCTGTGTACAACTGACCTGTTTACTCTTATGATATCGCTGTATTTTGTATGGATTTTGAGTCCAAAATACATCTCATGTTTTGCTATTATGAAAATATGGAGATCAGAAATCTGTTCGTTTGGATTTTAGCAGTTAGTTTTTGTTATGATCTGTCTCAGTTTGAAGCTTTTTAATTGCTAAAAAAAGAGAAAGATTTCAAAGTTTTCGGGTTGCCAAAATACGGTGGTTTAAAAAATGACAGAAATAATAATCACAAATGTAGTAGTTCTCTTGTGATATATGTAAAATCGATGGAAAGTGAAATCTTACTGACAAATGCCAAATCTCACTGACAAATCTAATAAAAAAAATTGAGAGACAACTATATGGGTAAACAGGTCTGCTGAGGTGCATACAAAGGATTGAATGCTTACCACTGATTGCAAGTACATGAACCTACTACTGGATATTTAACTAGTCAAATAAAAATACAAGTATCCTTATCAAATGGATGAAAAATTCAGAGGATTTCCGGGTAGTATAGATTCAAGTTTGTACAAAACATAGCTCCCAGAGGCAGGGTTGGGCAGCAATAAGAAAACATGGTTTATCTTGGAATTTCTCAAGAGCTATAAGGATCTTGACATCAGACCTCAGTATTTTGTAAATTAGAATTATTGAAATGATTGACAAAGTTATTGGCAACAATAAGTGTGTCATTTATCTACACATGTAGGTAACTATTTAAATGATTGATTCCACAGTCAGTGTATTACAATCAACTCTAGTAGACACTTAGTATATTTTGCACATGTAGATTGATAGAATGCTTACTAAGAGTTTACTTGAGTTGTAAAACACATGTATGAGATATGCTTGTTTATTTCCTAGTTGAATACTAAATTATCTCCTCTTTGAACAGGACAAAGGCATTAAAATATTGTAAATGAATTCTTTTACAGACATGGTAAATTCAAGGGTAGAGGCTAAATATTTCCCAGAAATAATCTCAATAGAACCATCAAAGCGTAAAAATTTTCTATAAATTGTATCCTATGTTTTAGGGAATACAGGAGAAATGATTCTGAAAACAAAGCATAATTCTAGGATGAAGAATCAAAACCTCTGGTTTTTTAAGTAGGGATGTCAATTTTGTCAACAATTCTTAAATGAATATTCAGTGAAAATATTCATTGACAAATATATTTTAATATTCGATAAAATAAACAAAATCTCATTTATTTTCAATAAATGCATCATCCTACCCTCATGACAGATTTTGCATCAGTATTTGGAAGTAAATTGGATGTAGACATTTGTAAGTGTACAGTAAAGAATTCTTTTCATATTTGTCATTGTTTGCAATAAATACAGTTGAACTTCGGTACCTTGAATACCATGGATATGTCTAAGTGATATGGAAGTCCCATGCATTTTATCTTTAAGTATTTTACCCCCAATGTCGAGAACCCTCGGATATCTCGAATTTTTTCTCAGTCCTATCAAGTTCGAGATAACGAGGTTTGACTGTATTATGATTTGAGTGTATATAACCAAAAATATAATTACAAGCAATGAAATCTTGAAGCTCCATAAACTGATAGTCTTATACCAAGGGCAAGTTTGTTGTATACTGTTCAAATTTAAATACATATTTAATTACAATTATCTGCCTAATAAGAGATACATAATCTTCGATAGTATGTTTTAAAAATCCATAGACAACTTCTTAATTAACAATTTCCCTTATTTTCTGATACATCTGAAATGATTTAAAACTTAAGAACATGTCACATGCTGAGGAAATCACTTTAAGAGGGAAATTAAACTATAACCTTATTCACAGTTTTATCTTAGACAAAGGCATTTGAAAGTGTGAATATTTCAGTGATCAATGAAATTTAAGGCAAGCAATATTATCTAGAAATGCGGAAATGAGAGTATATTGAAATCCAACTGGTGTCAAAAGACTGTTGTTACTATGCTTAACACTTTAAAAAACATTTAAAATCTACAGCAGAAAAGCAATGCTACTGTGTGTAAAACTTGAATATGTAGACATCTTCCTTTAATGTAGACCTAAAATGCCCGAAACAGCCTCCCTGGGGAACAAGTGAGGCCATGATAAAGGTTCAAAGTTTACACTAGTACTGCTTAAGAGATTTTAGATTTTTGTTTTAAAAAAATCAAATAGTTATGAGTGTGGATGAGAGATATTTAATAAAAAGTAGGTATCTGAGGGGCAGAAAGATGATTTGTTTCTTCAATAAAAAGCAGTTGTTAATAAAAGGAAATAAGTTCCATAGTATATAATACTATATACAGACTCTTCTTTTTGAGGGAATAAAAAACTGACTAATTGACATAATTACAAATCACCTCAACTGGCATCTAGATAAGAATATTAATATAATCATATAGATCACTAGAGGCGTAATTGTTAGAATCCTAAAATGTACGTATGTCATCTATAGCATGCCGTACATCACTCCATCACCCCCAGACAGCGGGTAACTGTCAGTACACACCCACCTAAAGGCTGTAAATCTGCTGCTATAATCTTGTCGCAGGTCTCATGTGTTTTAGAGTTGACTGTGACAGGAATCACGTAGGCTGTTAAATAATTCCTGTGGACTGGTGTATGTTTCCAAGTCCTCGTGTGTTAATTTCTGCATAACTAGAAGATTCAGATCATGGAAAGAGGAGCGGTACATTTGTATGTGTCATAGAAGGCTAAGGGTAGTAAAAATCTGGCATCTCGTTAGTAAAGGACAATATTGGGGTGCTTTGCTTTATTGCTTCTATCAAGCTTTACAATCATTTAATGTAAAAAAGTTTTCAAAATGCTCTCAGTTGGTAGTTTTAAAAAACACAAATTATATATCAGATTAATAAGTAAATGAAAATCCATATTGAAAGTACAGTTGAGCTTTGGTACTTCGAACACTGATATCTCATATACCATGTGTATGTTGAAGTGATTTGGAAGTCCAAACCACATATTCTTAAAGTATTTTACACTCGATATTTCGAATCCTCGGATATCTCGAAGTTTTTTCTTGGTCCCTTCGAGTTAAAGATAATGAGGTTTGACTGTATGTACATGTATTGCTGTAAACTTACTTAATTTAGATGAAATCCTATTTTAGAGCCTTTCTTGCTGATTCTTGTCTGCTAATTCAAGTACACACTAATATAAATATAGGATTAAAACAATTACATATTGATGTTCTCCTCCAAATTATAATTTATGATTATGCTAATCAGTTGATGATTAAGACTGTACTAAATTTTGAGTGCATTAAATTATATACATTTACAATATATTTATTTTTTCTATACAGACTGCCATAAAATTCTTGTTACTAACACTCAAAAATAAAGGCAAGCTTATAAAAATTTAAATTAATAATTTATTACAAGTTTATTTTTTTAAAAAAATTACATAGGAAGCTCATGTGGATAAAAAATTTCAAAAAAAGAGGCCCATGAGCCACAATCTCACCTAGCTGAGTGACATTAGCCCTTCTGTTCTAGCTTGGAGAAAAGATTAATAAATTTTTTCCCTTCTACTTTTGTATAAAAATGTTGACCCTATATAGAACCTTCATTCTACCCCCCACCCCCCACCCTACCCTCCCTTGGCAATGTTTTGAACCAACTTTTAATTATGTCCTTTTACTTGAGGAAAAATCTTTCAATTGATCAAAGTGTTTTGTATATATTCCACTGCAAAATATTATAACCTTTTGAGGGGAGGGGGCTGGAGGGAGAAAGGGTTTTTTGAAATTTCTTGATCTGCACTTCCTGAGGATGCGTGTAAATTTAAATATGAATCATCATAATCATGGCTCTGCTATTCTTCACAATTTTTAAATATTTTTTCCCCTATGCATTCCAATGTAAAATGTGACCCCACCCTATGCTGAGGGACCATGTTTTGAATAAACCTGGATCTGTACTACCTAAGGATGCTTGCATATACAGGTGACTCTCGATGGCTCGAACTCCGATCTCTCGAAGTTCTCGATCTCTCGAAGTGAACCTCCGGTCCCGTTTTTTTCTTCTATATAACTAAGCAAATTTACTTCCTATCACTCGAACTTCCGATCTCTCGAAGTTCTCTATCTCTCGAACCAAGACCTGGGTTCCGTTACACACATTTCATTGTTTTTTACTCTCTATCTCTCGAAGTTTTGATTGCGCGTGTGCACACGCCGATCAAGCGTAAAATTAATGCAGCTTAGACTTACCTGGATAACAGTGAACGCCTCGGGCTGGCATGGAGGTGTTAATTGGGTGTTTACATAGATGACACTATACCTGTGAGCATCCGAGTGTTGATATAATTAATTGGTTACAATTGGTAAACTATAAACGAATTGCTTCACAACTTA